CTCAGTAACTTGTGTCAATTATGTTATTATTAATAACCCACTTGTTGTTGCTGAGATCCATGATTAAACCTGGATCTCGAGTGTCATGAGTTGATTAGCTCAAAGCCTGATCACTTAAAAAAAGAAACCTAAAACATAACATTTTAGTTTTTTTAGTTTTACTAAAATCCAGCGCTTAGACTTAAACACATGCATATACGTATAGGTTTGACCACCATGCGATGGCCGTTTTTCTCTGTATCCAGGATTTTGTGGGAAGGCACGTCCACAAGTGTGCCTTAAAAAGAGTAGTTGAAATGGGTCACAGTCGTAGTTCTGAAAGCATCTCCTGTGGGCTGATCTTGAGCACATGGTGTGGCAAGGGGGCATGCCCTGCTCTGCGAATGGACACATCGGCTGATGATAAGATGCCGACAGGCATCTTAGTCTCCACGTGTTGACATGAGATGCAACTCCTCACTCTTCAGACGTGGTATCGAGACTCCACTGCGTTAGACCTTGTTTGTGTCGACTATTAAACTATGATTATACAGTGCCAAATAGTGTCGTTGAAAACATCAGGGTTATTCAGGGGTTGGGATTTTGTCAAATCCGTTTTCTGAACAAACCTCTAATTTCTTTACAGCTTGGAATTTTATTTCAGTGGTCAACTGTTCAAATTGTATTGAAACCCAACTACTGTAGTGTTTAATGTCTTTAATGAAATGCAAATAGAAGCATTTGGTCTGTAGTGGTGGTAAGAGCAGTCCTGTGCTGGGCAGTAAACCATAAACTTTTTTTTATTTTATCGGGTAAGGCCGACTTAGTTATATTGTTCTTTTTCAGAAACCACCTAGCCATAAACGATAGCTCAACGATGTGGCTCGTGCGAAAATTTATATCAGCCAAATACTCTAAAACGCGTGTTTCGAAATGTGAAAGGGAAAACTGGAGGACCTGGAGAAAAATCCACGCGACCTCGGGGAGAGAGACACGCAAACTCCAAATGTAGAGGCGTCAGGGTCGGGATCAAACCCACGACCTCCTGATTACCCGGCGAGGTAGTTGTCTCGCTGTGACACTGCATGGTGTGCTGGGTTCCCCGGTCCCCTTACTATTTTGTGCCCTGTAAAACCCCTTTGTATAGGAAACATGGCAATATCCATCCCACGTAATGTCGAGGACACTCAGAGTTATTTCAGAAATGCGGTGTTAAAATGCAATAAGTGGCGTTGGTATTGCACCGACAAAACTGTCAATGGTAAATACCAGCCAGAAAACTAAAGCAGTAAATGTAATATTTGTATCACAGATCAAGGCTATTGTAGCAATGTGACTCTATCCTTTGACTTAAACCTGAATAAACACATCTAAAGTACACGTGCATGTAGAGCTCCATCTAATTGTGTTATGGTCTCCATTTGTTTCCTGTCGACAAACGGTATTTGTATTGTGTTTATATACCGAGTAAGCATCGGGCAAGGATTATACTGGTCAACACACTTTTTCTGGAATAAGGTATTCCAACGGTTTTAAGGTAATTCTGGGGTGCTGATTCCAAATCTGGCATCAGTTTTTGTCTATCACATCAGGTTTTTGAGCTATCAAATATTGCATTTTCAATAAAAACTGCAGAAGAAAAATATTTAATGTGGATATCTACATAAAATGATATTATGAACACACTATCCTAAAAATACAGCACCATATTTTAACACTAAAGTAGTCACTGACTCGCAACTACTTGCAATCATAAGTGACAGAGTTAATTTCGGGTAAAATCAATGAAAATGGGGTATGCCGATAGCATAAAAATGAGATGTGATAGAGCAAATCTGAGATCAGCACCATGGAATTAGTCTAAAACAGCTGCAAAAGTCCAGGCCAGAAAATGTTTTTTATTGTTGTTGACCAGTGTTATTTCAGCCTGTTTAATAACGACACTCGTTCCTGCTTCACGGTGGGCGAGGTGGTGAGTAGAGTCCTACTGCGCTTTAACCAAGTCCCCGTGGGACCGAGTACTTAGCAGACCTGCGTTAAGTGTTCCACGCGGACCACTTCGTTGAGATCCTTGGGTCTCCTCGCTGATGAAACATTCATGCGATCACGCGACTGGTTGCCTTACAAAGACCACAATAAAAAACCCATAAGGACAGCCAAACGCGTGCTCCTATTGTCGTGCGGAGAAACAGGTGGCCTCGGGGCGAATTTTTTTTTCTCCACCCCCTTGTGTCCCACCACCCCCTCCAAACCAAATTTTAATTCGATTCGGCTTTGGCAGGTGCCAGTCTGTGGATCTGACAAGACACCCACAGACGGGGTGAGAAAGCCAGAGAGATAAATAATACAGCATCGATTCGCGCACAAACGAAGCCACCACTCACCCCGCCGCCACCCGTAACACCCCGAGCCTGCTGCTGCTGCTGTAGCCTCTCCGCCCATCGCGCCGTCCCCAGATTGGGTTCATCAGCGGGCTGATGGGACCTCCCCCTGGCCCGGGGAAAAGACAATGCGCCGGCCGAGACAGATGGCAAACAGGACCCGTGGCAGATGCCTGCCATCTCGCGCCGAGGTGGATGCCTCATTACTCCGCAGCTCCTCCTGCTCCCCGCCTTTTCTGCTTTCCTTTCAGCTCTTGGGTGTACAACCGCTTTGCAATGAAACTCATTATATTCGGCACATGTTTTTTTTTAGAAGTGGTTCCTCAATGAGGGCGGGGGGGGGGGGGTGTTACACAGCTCCCCGAGTAATTAATCTTAAACCCTTGAATTTAAAAAAGCTTTTTTTTTGACAATCAACATACTCGGAACCATTACCGAGTGTAGTTCCTTCCACGGACCTTAATCCACATCAGACATCAGGGATGAGAAGAATAAAATGGTAACGCATCTTGAATGAACACAAAAGAAGCGATTGTTTTTAAAACACACTTTATTAAGACAACTGAGCCACATCCACCACTTTGTTTTCACTTGTAAAATGTAGGTTAGCATTGTTTTGCAAATGACGCTGAAAATGGTTGACTTAAAACAGATGTTTATCAGACTTTAAAAATTTCCTTCCAATCTGAAACTAGAAAATATGCATTTAGAGTCTGACATACTCTCGAAAAAAATTGTGGCACAAACAGCAGCGTCCTTGGCAGTGTGTTTTGTGAACAAAACATGGTCCCTTCAAAGCACATTCACTTATCAATTACAAAATTAACAAAATCCTATTTGGCAGTGCGTTACATTCAGGAAAAAAGCACGCTGGCAGTTTGAACACACAAAACAACTACTGGCAATCAAACCAACAATATTAACTTGCAAAACAAATTAAGTGTTTTTTTTTAAGGAACCAAACTTGTATTCCTTCTCAGCTGCTGCTTAAAGTAACTATGGTAGAGAGTGCAGTACCCAATGACATACGGAGAAACTGTTTCTAAGCACGTGAGAATCTGTGAAGGAAACGTGACATCGGTCGGGGGTTGACAAACGACGGTAATAATTCTTTTAAAATAAAAAGTTTACATCTCCGTCCTTGCTGGACCTACCGGCGGCTAATACACCACCAGTTCTGTTGTTAAAAGACAGACATGACTTCATCATGGCAGTTTCCCGGTACATTTAGCAAGTTACAAAAAAAACACAAGGAAATCCAAATGGCAGATATCAATAGTTATGGCTGACGAGTCTGCGTAAAGACAGTCTTATATCGGTCAATTAAATTTCCTTTTATTTTTATTCGCTAAGTTACGAGCTCTACGGATAGTGTTGTGTTTGAAAAAGAACAGCATTGAAGTTCAGCATTTATGAAAATTATGAGGATCACTGTCGCACGCGTTTGGCAATGGAGACTGCCTCAACAGCCGAACATATTTAGGGTCAGTGGTTGACCGTACACTCGGAATCTGTAGTAGCTTTCACTTTTAATTCACAACACTTAGTGCTATCATGCTGTAGCGTCTACATTTGTACAGCGAAACAGAGAAAAAAAGGTGCAAACGTAACGCTTAAAAAAAACACCACGCACAATATACAAAACTATCAACAATCAAAATGTCACGACACACATCTAAAATAACTAATCACACCCCCTACCGTATAGTTCATCACCAGTAAGGGTGCAACACACTCCAAACTTTACCAACTACATTCTATCGTCGTACAGTGCACGCAGTGCCGTGCAGTTTCCCTTCATTTTGCCTTTCGGGTGTGCTCGCCATTCCCAGCGGCTGTGTTCGTCTCCAGGTTTGGCAATTTGCCTCCCCCCCAGGTCAGTGCTCAATGCCCACTCCGGCTTGTCATAACGTGTCTCCCTCCCTGCCCGCACCCCCCCAACCCCCACGTTTAAAGCCCACAGTGACAGCACCTCAAGTCAACGCGAGTCGTTTGCGCCACAAAGGCTTTTGTTTACAGAGCCGTGATAGCATTGGGCGCACGCTTTCGAGGCGGGTTACGCGACTGAATGCTAAAAAAACGATCCATTAACTGCTTCTTGGGACGCGTTCAGGTGTCACCGTCGAGGGGAGGTTACGGGAGGAGGGGGGGAAGATTCTAAAGCATGGGGTCCAAATGCAGCACACGCGCGCGTAAACTATGAAGTGCAGGTTTTTTTACGCATCTGTTGACGAGCAGCCGCTTGTACATTCGCAATAGCAAATGTAGAGGAGCTGCTCGGGTGAGTTTACGCACGGGAACGTTTCAATCACTGCCCCCCCCCCCAATCCTTGCTCGAGTCCCAAGCCAAAGCGTTGACGGTGCAACACGACGACCAAGTGCTTGCGCACAGCTGAATTAGAAAGCCTCGCATTTCACGAGTGCATGTTTATCTTCTTGGTTATTTCGGTAAAGTCACGTAGAAGGGAAATAATAAAAATAATACGTAATAAAATAATTCTCACGACGTTTCGGCCACAACGCAAGCAGCCGTCCTCAGGTGAAGAACAGGTCTGTCGGGAAGACAGCGTCTGAATGAATACCCCAGACGCTGTCTTCCCGACAGACCTGTTCTTCACCTGAGGACGGCTGCTTGCGTTGTGGCCGAAACGTCGTGAGAATTATTTAACGTTTTATTTTTATTATTTTATTATTTACCTTCTACGTGACTTTACCGAAAGAACCAAGAAGATGAATCCCTGCAGTCACGAAAGCTTTAAATCGAAAGAGTGCATGTTTCTTTATGCTATTAACAAAAAAACAATTGTCTGCAGCACTATTTTTTTTACTTTGGTTCAAGACTCTTGACAACACGTTCTCGCCACTGGATGGGGACAAACATTTACGACAACGACAAAGAAATACCTTGCCTTTGTGTTAACTTAAGGAGTGTAAAACATTACTCATTAACAAAAACAAAAATGAATGACCTTTAAAAGGAACATACATTGAATAATTACATTGTACACAAGGAACCTGTATAATACAATAACTACATTAAATACCACACTGGTCTGGACACTCTTCAGCAAATTACTTATTTTTTACTCTTTCCTAAAAGCAGCACATCAGTATTTTGTACAAAATTAGTTCCTCAATTACTGGCTTTTAGCCAAATAACATTTAAATTGATATGAAAAGTTAATTTACCATACCTTTACAAGCAACATCTGTATACTGTCAAAATTGGAATGAGTACCATCACATTCTGTATAAATGGATACAAAAAGATAACCCTGCCAAGTGTTGAACACTTATAAAAACTCCAAAGTTTGAATTGATTTCAAGTCAAATACACGAGAAACGCAGGCATTTCTCAATGAAGAAAATCGTTTCTTCAAAATAGTCAGTCTGTTGTAGCAAACATCAGTCGTGTTTTTTTAATATACAAGACCGTCTGCTATGCAGCCTACCCAGCTTGTAATGGAATGCAATGACTGCAGTGCTGACATCCACTTTGTGAATTAAACCTCTCAACCATCTGCATCATAAGCAGAGATGAATCCAGGTGATTTTTACAGGAGCAGAAAAAAACCAACACCAGACGGGCATTGCTGCCCAACTTGTGAGTGGGGGGGGGGGGGAGACTTAAGGGTGACGATTATGTCTCGTAAACCGATACAAATCAACAGCAAGACTCCCCTCTGGCCAAAATGTGGAAATGTCCACTATTGCCCCAAACACTGTGTCGTAAGAATTCCCGCTCCAATGGATACAACACTGCACCGATTTCATTATTAGGCATAAAATACTGCTACTAATTGCTGGAATAAGTGCAAGTTAACAATATTAATAATTACATTTAAAACAATGGGTAGATGGACGCCACTCATGGGAGCCCTAGCCCAGACCACCTATTACATCTCCCATTGTGCGCTCGCCTCTCTGGAGCTACAAACCGCCCCAGGGGATGTGACCATGTCCTCATCACGGTGAACGTTTTGCAGCACTGGAACTACATTCAAGGTGGCCCAATAGCAGAAGCAATGGACAACACAAATATACACACGCACACATCAAATGTATGCGCTCTCACTGCCTATAAAAAAATATTTTTGTTGTTGTAACAGGTGTCCGTTATACAGACTTTCATTGAATTGAGCAGTTTGTAATTACGCCTGTGATTACTTCAAAAATTAATGTTTAATGTCTTGGGAAGCCACTGGCGATCAACTTTCACCAGCAGCGCAACTTGGAAATACAGGGGTGGGCTAAATTCGCCCAAACAAATATGCCTTCTGCATGTTGACAATAAATAACACAATTTTCTAAAGTAAATGCCACTAGATTTTAAGGCGGTCTTTGTAAAAAATATTGATATGTAACAAACCTCGGCGATTTTGTGAGTGTTATGGTTGAGTATATTTAGAGTTAAATCTGTACCCTAAAATTTCCTAGACTTCAGTTCAATGAACGCTCCCTTAAATTGTCAAAAAAGTAGTAAAAAGTACATTTAACTAAGTGTAATATATTAATAGATACTGTATATTAAATATGCTTACTTCTGCATAAAGTTATGCTTGCCTCATTAACCCAGAATGTGTCAAAATGCCCCCAAGCAGTCTATATTTTTTTTTAAGCCAGCCTGGTAAAAAAGTATTTCTTGGCTTTCCTGACCGTACCGACAAGTGCATAAACAAAAAAAAGAGCTTACAAAAACCACATCCACCGACTCTTGCATCCAACAATGTATAAAACTTGCTTTCAAGCTAGAACCTTACATCACTCGCATAAGCGCCCAATGACCACCAATCACACAGCGACCCATGTTCGGGTCGTCAGCAGAGGGCGGCCTTTTTTAAATCAATTTCACCATGGGGTGAAGAAAAGGGAAAACAAGCGAACGATTTGCTTGGAAATCGAACGGGACAATCGAGTCGCGCCCTTCGGGCTTGCAAGCGACCGAGGCTCCGCGGGTCTAACTGGCAGGCCAAGCGGCGTCTGTGCGAGTGGCTTCGGTGGTGGGATGGGGGGAGTGCTCACGAGGCTACAGGTAAAGGCTGCGAGGAACCAGGCTGCTCATGTACTTGCGGGCTTGCTCCGTCACTGCCGCATGCTCCTCCGCCGTCTTGCCCAACGGCGTCATCTCCCAAGACGCCGCGGAAACCGGCTTCACGAGGGGGCGAGGGGGGCGCGTGGGTCGACAGGAGGGTGGCAGGTGGAGGGGGAAAAGGGGGGAGGCGGAGAGGGAGAGAGCGGCACCGAAGAAGGATGGGATGTGAGTTGGGGAGATGACGGTAGAAGCAGATAAAATGGCCAGGAGTGACAAGAGTGGAAGTCGTGCAAGGGGCAGAGGAATGACCGAGTGGGAGCAGACAGGATTTTGGTCAAATACGTAGGATTTGGGTAGAATGTTAAAGTCGGGTGAAACAGGGGAGCGGAAAAAAAAACACAAGGAATTGTTAATCATGAGCACACCGAGAACCAACACCAAGAGTGAAGAACACATTTTTTTTTTAAAAGGCAGCAAAAGTAGTGCAAAGCAGAACAAAGTAAATAAAACTCTCAAATTACCCGGAAAGTGTCCGCTTCTGAAAATAAGCAATTCAAAAGGTTGTATGCAAGAGGAAACCATTCCTTTCCACACCCCAGTACAAATCAATTAAATATTTTCATTTTACAGAGGTGAGGGTACGATGCATACACACCGCAGGCAGATCGGTGCAGGGGTTTTAGTAACTTTTTTTTTTACAGATTCTGTTAGCAAGAGGCAAACATGAGCACAAAGGACAAAAAAAAAAAATGGGAGAGGGATTTAAAATTAAGCGGAAGCCGTGCCCTCATGGCACAACATTTTTTTTTTAGGCCCCTGAATGCCCTCGGTCTGAGTTGAGGTGTCATGTCCTTACAGGAATGCTTGCAACCACACGAGTGTCAATGAGTGTACATTCATGTCTACGCCAGCATGAGAATGTGGCAGGCAGGCAGCGGATACGCATGGAAGCACCTGGAAAAGCCCTGCTTTCTCAGTCTCACGCTTAAAGCAAATACAGGTGACGCAACGGGCACCAGTTCGACCGTGTCTGACGGACGCGATTCTCTTTTGTGTGGCTAAACGCGTTGTCCCGTGTTCACCGTCCGCGCTTGCCTTTGTGCGAGAGTGTGTGTGAATGCACGGGGGCAAGAATGAGCAGAGGCGAATCTGCCCTGGTGGTCTAAGCTCTGTTCTGTTAAGAGCTTGAGCGATTGGGGCGAGGTGTTTCACTGAGATATGACCTCGGCAGGCAGGGTCCACGCATGATCCGACATGCAGAGCGTAGGAAAGTGCTGAGGGAGTTAAGAGCACAACGTTACTTCCCAAAACAAATACAATTAAAACAAAGTCAATGTATGCTTGCCTTTAAGACTCCGTTAGCAATTACAATGTAAATTTAGAATGCGTAAACGCGATCGGCGATTGTTATGAATAATTAAAATGTTCCAGATTTTACAAAAAAGCAGGAAAAGTTTAGCAGACACTTGTGCAAATGTTTAGCTTTGTTATCACAAAGTGGCAGGCAGCGTAAATTGTGATGTAAGCGTAAGCGATTAAATCCACTCTGCTCGGGACTCGGGTATCACATGCGAGTTTTGGGGAAATTGTGCGGTTAATTCCATGGACTTCAATTTGCAACGGCATTCTGCCTCCAGTTTAAAGTAACCACAGACGAGAGACAATCTTTTCGTGTGCCACTCGTCTTACCTGGACGCTGACAGCGTTGGCCCTTCATAGACATGCACCAAAAGCTTAGCCAACGTCCATGGGAAAGCATAAGTCAATGTGGAAAGGCTACTTTAGTTTTAGGTGGAGGCACAGATATATAAAGGAGATTTATTTTGTTACTTATACCCTCCATGACAACACTAATAATTTATTTTGCATTGTGTTACATAGTCTTATATAGTTTTGCATCAAGTATGTGTGGTTAATGCAGACTTGACGCCTTGTTTTTTGAACATCTAAACACCTCCTGTTTTTTTGCGTAGAAAGGGTAAAACCTATTCTTATTTTTCGTCAAACTAGGACTCATCTAACTTAGATGGTATGTGCCTCCAAGCACCTGGCAGTACACCATCATTGGTTCAAGCAAACCTGATGCTGCTGATGAGACACTGCATGTCAAAACCAGTCCAGTTTTCTTGTGTTGAACCAATGAACCCACACCCACAAGGCTGTGCAGCGAATGGGATGTAAAAAAACAAAACTTATTTTTTACATGGAGGGACAAGATAGGTGAAGGAGGCATAGTTACCTGCTTATTTAATGTGCTAGAGGCTCGCTGATTAACCACAGCACACCAAGAGTGCGCAACTGCACAGGTGTCTTCAAATAATGTGAACGTTCTAAAAGAAGAGCAAGCCAAGGACACGCGATGCCCTTGGCTTACGTTGGTACCGCTCCAGAGCTCGCGTGGACGCTAAGGGCCGCGAGCGTGCAGGGCAAGCGGGCGGGGAGGAACTGAGCTCACCGAGGGTGTGTGTCCCTCCGTTCGCGTTCGTAGCACCACTGGAATTTGCCGCCACCTCTGCACTGAGCCCGCGCTTCGGTCTTCCCTTCTCTCTGCCTCCACCCCCGAGACCAACAGCCCCTTTGTCTATATGTACACACACATGAACACACACACGCGCAGAGCAGAGGCGGTCAACAAAGTTTTACAAACGGGTTATCGTAAGTAGCACTGATTTACACACATTGCATTCGTCTTACCACGCAGCGATCCCTACTAATACAACACGTAGTATTACTTGATTAGATCGTATCAGTCTCATTCGATATATTGTTTGCATGGCTTTTTTTACAAAGACGTTGTTAGCGAGCACCTATCAAGGTCGGAACGGCACAAGAGGGTTGGGTGTCCAGCACCACGCCCAGCCGCCTGCGTCTCCCTAGTGGCGAGGTTACACATCGCACCAGGTACACTCTTTTGAGGCCGAGTCAACTTAGGGGAGGCTCAAGACATCCCCTAAGTTTTCCTTGGTAAAGCTGTGTTTGTGACGTGACCTCGCAGATTCGGGTCTGGTGAGTGAACATTTAATGCATGACCAGGTTTTGCAAATGTGGTCAACTAATCAATGCATTACCTAGTTCAAGTTCTTTGCCAGGTAAGCAATAAAAAGTAATAAATACGTAAAATGTATTTTACACCACTCCCAAAGGTTTCCCATGCACCAGAGTCAGGTGACCTCAACTGGGTCACCTGGCAGGCTGTACTCGTTTTATGACCACAGTAAACATTGTTGTTTGCACTTCATTTAAGACTAACTACACTATCTTACATGGACAGCAGGACAACTCTTTCGTGCATATTTATAAATACAAGTGCACTTCATCATCCTTTACCCTTTGATTGATTAGACTTGGTTATCCAATGGAAATAAGTACAACTGTGTAATGTCCTGCATTGCAGGGTTACAGCGAAGGTGGAGGTAACAAGCTAGTCATCACTCCTGAACAAGCAAAACCCATGTTTAACACTTTGCATTTCCAGAAATTGTAAATCTTCCATCAAGCATTATTGCACAAATATAAACGGAAATTAAGTTTACGTTTAATTCAGTTCTGTCTCAGCCCCTGCGGGCAAAAGGGATTTGCACGATTCCTCCACGCCCACCGCCGTAGAAAGACCGGGATGGTGGCAGTGTCGGGGGACTTTGCAAAGCTGCTTGCTCACCAGCACGCCTGACAGCGCCCCTCCTTCGGCGTCGGGCAGCAGGGAGAGGGTCTGCGACGGCTCTGGGCTGCACCGCTCCCACACGTCCAGAGAGAGGGAGCGGCGTGCCGACTGGGATGGAGAATCCGCCTGTAGCGTGCAGCAGCGGCAGTGCAGGGGAACATGCGCACGCCAACAAGTGTTTAGCGTCACGCTGCTACCGTCATGATGCACGGTCGCAGTTCGATTCGAGAACCAGTTACATGTCTACCATCTAATTTCCGCTCTTCGTACTTGCCTCATTCGTTTGATCTGTAGTATTTCACGCGAATTGTTGACACCATCTCTTACGTTTCTTCCCTCTCGCTCTTTTGTATCGTCCATCTCATTATTTCTACCTTTTTTTTCCCCGTCTCATTTATCCAGTCTCAGTTGTTCTGGTATATTCGTTCCTTTAGCTTAAATTAAAATATTGGCATTCATAATGCATCTAATTAATAATTTCTCACACATGCAATTCATCGCACGTTTCACGAGCTTCAGAATACATGTTAATTAATTATTGTGTGGCCGATTCAGCAACGCACGGGCAATTAACACATTATTTACTGCCACAAAAGGCACCACTTTTAGCTTCCAGTGATTACAAAGAGTAAAATAACATTTCTAGTCAATGAAGAATACCGTAACAGATAACTCAGCCAATCTACATTATACGGCAGTGTTGTCATCATGCTATAATACAACTCGGTTTACGAAGCCAATAAAAGACATTGGAGTTGTGAGAACACTAGCCCTTTCATGGCGAGGTGTCATATACAGATGTGCTCTTTGTTTATGACTCAGGCACAGACACTTTTTTTCTTCTGACAAGCAAAAACCCTGTTGCAGAAATATAATCTTCAACCTTACAAGGCGCATTACTTTTGCCTGCACCACCACCACAGAGCGCCGTTCCATCGCACATAACGTCCAACCGAGTGTGGCGCACGGTGCCTATCGCTGGCGGCGACGGAGGCACTACCTCGCGCTTGATGTGGACGGGCAGAAAGTGTCCCTCCGAGTCCGACCCGTGCTCAAGTTCTATTTTGACCACATCGGTCAAGTCTTCGGACAGCTGACTCGTGGTCTGTGGCTGGAATAGAACCCAGAGGAAGGCACCTGTTACAAACTAAACATTTTTTTGACGGGAAACTTCAATCGCGTCCAGTTCAAACAACCGTTATATGCTCGCCCAAGAAAGCCTGAGTCTCATGCATACTTTAAGGATGGGCCATGGACATGAGATGCACAGGAAATTTATTTGTTAAGAAAAAAGGAGTGTTCAAAAACATTAAAAACGATTGGTCAGCAACGTTTTTTTGCAACGCAGGCACCTTATTTTACCCTGTACGTTGGTGTCTCATACATGTCACAACTCCCTGTCTGTATGATCCGGCAACCCCACTTCCAGGTCACTGGATTGATTACAGGTGTGTACAACCACACCTGGTCTTGATGGGGGACTATAAAAACGACCTTTAAAACAACCTCGTTCATTTTCAGGCAATGGTTCCTTGGTAACGTTTAGGTCCAAGGAGCACAATTCACAATGCACCACAGCTGTGGGACCCTTATCTGTGGCAATAAAACCAAGAGCAAGGCTGCAACGTGACCCGGGTTATGACTTCACAAGGTGCTTTTATCCTGTTCCGTGCCTCCTCCTCCTCGCGTACCAGTATTTTGAGAGGCCCGTACTTCCGCTCCTGAGCTGCGAGTGCATTCTTAAACGGTGTCGGGGTTCTGGGAATCGCCTCCACCACCCACTTCCTCGGTGTCCGGAATCTAAAAAGGTGAAACAGAAAAATAACTCTCGATTACCGTGAAAGTCCGCTTGATTTAAAAGCTTTGAGTTGAAACATGTCACGCAAAAATAAATAAATTCTGAGTGCTCTGTGCTAAATTACATATTTCAGTCTTAAAGCGAAATTTTCAAATATTTTTCTCCCAATTTCTATTTCTTAAAAATATTAATTACGTGCAGAGGATTCTCCATGTAAGCCAGAGCGACAAACACTGCTACCCAAAACCCTAATTGAAGGCATGTCAGGCGCACACAAGGCTCGGGCTATTTGTACGGCTGAACGCCACTCGAGGCCTGCTTTAGGCTGCCCATCAACCAGCCTGTGTAACCCTTGGCCAGCAGCCCCATCCACAAACCACACCTTTACTTTCTCCATTTCCTCCTGTTCGATGACCAAAGGTCCTTTGATCAGTGTCTCAATTGCACGGAGCAGAGAGGATTACTCGAGTGGTGCTGGACGGAGAGCAAACACCGCCTTTCCCTGAGCAAACACCAGCACCTCGCTAGCCTTTCCACACAGGTGGCCAAGACAATTGACAGGGCCCACACACATTACCCCCCCCCCTCACTCTCCACGGCTGATGCCTATAATAAAAAACGCTTTTGGGCAATTGCAAATAATATAAAAAATAAATATATTTTTGGACAAAAAATGTTTGCTTTGCTGGGTTGTTTTTTTTCTCTCTCTCTCATTTTATATTCTTTTCTCCTTTGCTCACTGTACACAACTCTTGGAGAAGGAGGAGGTGGCGGGACGGGCAGAGGGGGATGTTTAAAACTGCAAATTGTGTACGTTTAGTGGCCGGGGGAAAATTATAAAGCAGCGGCGGTGAAGCTTGTCGTGTTTTCACTTTCAGCCGAAGATTAATGATCGCAGCGGTGAGGGAAGGAGATGGGGGAAATATTGACTAGGGTCACGACCTGCCCACCTGTGGCGACTGCCACACCTCTGCGTATCCCGTACGTGAGAAAAACATGCGCTCATGCAAGCGAGGAGAGTACACACACGCCCTGAAAGGTCCACGGTCTTAGCGGGTTATAAAAAGGTTCATCAACTATTTGCCCTAGCATTTCTTGTCAATGTAAAGCACCTGTATCAACTCACGTTTGCAGAGCAAACATGTTTAAATGTTACCCTAAAAGGACAGCTATTATTTCACCTTCAATTCTCAATAAAATGATAGTGCATTGCACTGATGATCTTTTGCTTGATCTGAGAAAGCCTATGGACTAAGTTTTTGTTTTCCTGAGCAAAAAAACCTTACCGTAATTATAATCATCAGTAATAATAAAATAAAAGAATATGAACAATGCACACTCTTTACTGGCATTTACTGGAATTGTGTGAATGTGATATATTCATATATACCTACTTGCAACTCAAAGTAATAGTTTGATTATCCTGCGTGCCTTCAGTAATTATAATCATCAGTAATAATAAAATAAAAGAATATGAACAATGCACATTCTCTTTACTGGCATTTACTGGAATTGTGAATGTGATATATTCATATATACCTACTTGCAACTCAAAGTAATAGTTTGATTATCCTGCGTGCCTTCAGTGACTTTACATCATCGTTACAATGTTTGCACGAGGCAAACCAACCTCACGAGCTATGCAGGCACATTTTATTATTTATTTACAAACCTTTTGTACAAGCGCAATGTGTATCTCCATCCATTATAGCATAATAGCACTGCACTGCCTCCACAAGCACAATGATCTGGGCGATGATGCAACTGTTAAGCACTGACTAAATAAATGCACGACTCAATGAACTAAACAATCGCTCGCGTGCTGTGCATGTCAACACACGTGCCTGTACACAATCAGAATATTTGTTTATACTGGAGGAATCCGATGAGCTATAAAGGTATTTTTTTTACAGATGGCTGCCAACTTTAAAAAGTAAGCTCTCATTTACTTTAACATTTTATGGAAATGTTTTTTGTGGTTCAGTGCTTTAAGTTGTGAAGTTTTGTTTTTCTACCCTCTTTATAAATATTTCACTTGGATAAACCATTGCAAGGGGTGTTCAGGGGTGTCAATTGACACATGCATAGCAAGCATCACTTATAAAGCTATGCATTCATACAATGAAAACTGCACCAAGTCAAACACATAAATAAACACGTAAGTAGTGAAATGGTTCACAACACCCGTTCATGTAGAATACATAGTTGCTGAATACATAACTGCTGCAACAATTGTATGGTGCTGACTGAACTTAAGGGTTGAACGTTGCCGTTATTACTACTACACGGTAGCACGTTTCTCCAACTCACTTTCACCTTTGCTGTGATGCGGATCAGACGACGACTAAAAAAAAAAAAAAAAAAAAAAAATCGGGGGCCCCAGAGCGTTTGGCCACAAAAAAAACACCGAGAGAGAAAGGCGCGCCGCGAAACACGGCGAGGGTATCTGTCCCGCCTCGAGTTCACGGCGGAGGTGAGGACAAGCGAGCTTGGGCTTGGCTCGCTGTGTGCGGCCGCGTGCGCAGCCCCATTACCCGTTGTTCTCCTTCTGCACGCGCGACGCGTGGTCCCGCGCCGTCGTCGGGGTGGTCGCCGCCGCCTTGAGTTCGCACACGGGCGTTGAGGTCAGCGTCGGGGAGTCCGTCAACAAGGGCAAATCCAGCGGCATCAACGTGTTCAGAAACTGAAGGTGGGGGGGGGAGGGAGCAGAAGAATGCGAGACAAGGGGATGACTAACAGTAATTGCCTGCACCGCTTATCCTTCTATCTGACTATGCGCGTCCGGCGGTAAAATGGGTTGGGTGCAATTTGAGGGTCAAGTGTGATTTGTAAAGCATTTGTTGGGGTGGAATGTAAGGTGGGTAGCTAGATTTTTTGCTATTTGTTTGTTGTGTAAATGCAAGTCAGATTTTTTTCGAGAAGTCGTGCGAGTGTTACAGGAACGGCATTTCTATTGCCACTACAATATAAAATGTGCTTTTTATACAATTCAAGGCCCTTTCTAAAAGGTAAGAATATGCCATGCATGTAGCATATGCATATCCAAACAAGTGCAGAATACTCACACATTAGACATACGAACACACACATACAAATAAATAAAATGAAGCACAAGAAAGTTTGGCTAGAAAAAGAATAATGGAAATGGAATGTTTCAAGGTTGTATATAAAACCCAACAGTAAAAAAGACGATACTGCTGCAACTCTTTCACAGTGTCCACTTCAATATTCTGGATTCCCCAAACCCACACCTCCTGTCCAACAAGATAATGCAAATTTAGTTCAATGTAAAAAAAAAACCTAAATATTTTTGGGAATCACATTCTCAAAGGTGAAACCCCGGCCGGACAAGGTCGAACCTTACCTGTGACGGAGAAAAGGGCATGGACTTTGTCGGCGTCCCCTTTGGCGTGAACTCGGAGGAGCACAAGTCTTCGAGGAGACCGTTCTTCAGGCGCTTGCGGGCGCGTCGCAGGAGGCCTGGTGGCGCCACGGCGGGCGTGCCGTCCGTTTTGACGCCGTCCGCGCCACCGGGTCCCTCATCTCCGGCGAAGCTGCACGCCGAGTCGCAGGCCTCCACCTTGACCACCATCAACCTGGCGGCGGCGGCGGCGTCGCCGTCAGCGTGGCCACGGTCCAGCCCCTCCAGGAACTCCAGCGTGTGGAGGTCGCCGAGGCAGGACGGCTCCTGGACGCGTGGGGGCAACGTGTGAGCCACGGTGGCGAGATGTTAACTACCTCGCCTGGTATGCAGGAGGTCGTGGCTTCGATCTTGACCCTGACGCCGCCTGCTGCTGTATATTTGGAGTTTGCGTGTCTCTCTCTCTCTCATCATCATCACGGTGGCGAAGAGATGTTAACTACCTCGCCTGGTATGCAGGAGGTCGTGGGTTTGATCCCGATCCCGACGCCTGTATAGTTAGAGCTTGCATGTTCTCTCCCAGTGGTTTTGTAGATTTTTCTCCAGGTCCACCAGTTTTTCCCTTCATATTTAGAAATGCGCTTTGACTATTTGGCTGCTATACATTTCCACATGAGGAGCCATTTCGTTCAGCTATAATTTGTGGCCAGGTAGCTTCTGAAAAAGAGCTATATAGCTCAGTGGGCTTTACCTGGTAAAATAAAAAGTTTTATAGTTTGTAGTTTAGTTTAGCCACTCGACTACCACCACCCAACCCTGGACCCAGTGCCAGTGAGAGGTTATCTCGGTCAGTCAACCAATTTTAGAGCTTTGTGTTTTGTTAGGTAGAGAATGAGTCACACCCCTTCCAACTCCCCAGCAATGTGATTTACTGTTACAATTTGGGGGTAGCGATTGCATTAAAAAATCGATTCTTATTAATCTTGTTCATGTATGCCGTTTGTAGTGTGTTGCTTTTTGTTGTCTTGTTTGCTTAAATGATTGATTCAGACACGCAGGAATTAAAGAATTGTTAATTGGCTAATCGATGAATCGCTTACACACCTTATAATTATACAAGAGTAAAGTTAACACAATATTTTCACGTGGAAGGTGACATCTGGGTATGGAGGAGAAAACCCACGCAAAGGAGGGAGATACCATTCAGAAAATCCATGCAGCATTATCAACTAACCGATGGCTTAACAGACCACCTCAATTTTGCAGGCTGGTGTCTATCTCACACACACGTCGTTTTTACTATCTATCAACAGTTATGCACCGTCACCACCCCCCAGACCTATTTTCTTTATGTATGACGCTACTGGCCAGTAAGCATTCTAGGAGAAGGAAAATAACGTCACTTACTGTGTCCATGCCGTGATAGGCTGGCGGCACGTGCACATTATAACCCGTCTCCGAGCTGCCAAAGTTGTTTTGTCCATCCAGGCAGAGGTAGCTTGGGGGTGTGAGTGCGCCTTCAGGCTGGGGAGGGCTCGTGTTGGTAGCGAGAGAGCAAGCGGGCCCCTGGGAATGCGCGAAGGCCGCTAACGGCTCCTCGGGGCCACCCAGCGGGCCTGCCAGGCTGCCGTCTGACAAGATGACGTGGTCAGACAGGAGGGCAGAGCCCCAGCCCCCACCATACTCCATCTGCAGACACAATCGCTCGGTCACTGCTGGGTGCGGCAAGACCACAAGCGTGGCTCGAGAATGTCTAGAATGCAACCGAGGGTTTTTTGAACTGGGTGGTGAAGAAATTGAAGAAACGGAAAATAACATGGATTTCATTCACGGAGATGCTGACCGTGAAGTTCTGTTTTCCGCGAACTTCGTTTTCGGTGGACATCAGTAGCATGGTGAGCTCCTTTATGCGCTGCTCTCTGTCTGGGTCCTCTTCCTCCCCATAGCAATTCTGTGCAGGTACAAAACACAGGACATTATGAGACATCTCCTTTACCAGTGGCAAAATATAGTAATAGGTTTTTACCCTTTCAACTGGTACAAAAACTGACACCTTTATACAAGGCATCATGTTTGCAATAACCACAACACAAGCAGTCAAAATGCAAACAAAAAGAAGAAAAGCTGTCTCGGGTGTGGGCCAATCAACTTCAAGGACAGTGCATATCATTATCATCATCAGTTGTTTCTTTTTGTTTGCATTTTGACTGCTTGTGTTGTGGTTATTGCAAACATGATGCCTTGTATAAAGGTGTCAGTTTTTGTACCAGTTGAAAGGGTAAAAACCTATTACAACACAGGACATTTTTATGCAAAGGGAAAATGGTTCGAAAAACAATGCAAAACACGCATTAATAGAATTGGCAAAGGTGATGTTTACCTCAGAAACTGAATGGCATTAGTCTTGTGTTCTTACTGGACATGGCTAGATTTCTTAAATTTTCTTGAAAAATATAAATCCCTAAAACCTCTTAAAACATGTAACTAGGTTTTTGTCCAATGATGTTGAGCTTTCCATTGGTGACCACCAACATGTTCCACTCTCCACTTGCGTGTTCCATCGCCACCAGAAATATTTAAAAAACAAAAACTCAAGCCTCCCGGGTGGAACTGTGATTCCACATAGACTTTTATCCCCTAGCCAGGCTCTTGGATGGAGTTCCAGCGGCCGCGGCCACTGCGGTTATGGCACGCAAGCGGGACTGCCCGCTCTTACTATTAAACTGTCTTTTTTATTTTACAATTTAAAGCCCACTGAGCTATGTAGCTGTTTCAGAAGCGACCTGGCCACAAATGATAGCTCAATGAAGTAGCTCAATGTGTGTAAATGTATAGCAGCCAAACACCCTAAAAGCATGTTTCTACATATGGAGGGAACATTTCGAGGACCTGGAGAAAAACCACGCGACCACGGGGAGAACACGCAAACTCCAAATATACAGGCGTCAACAGGATCGAACCCGGGACCTCCTGTGTGCCAGACGAGGTACTTAACATCTCACCACCGTGGCGCCCACAATTACTTGGGGCCCAGGCGAACCCCGCTAAGCGCTTCACTTCTTAGCGTTTCCCCCCGAGGGATGGCGAGGGCTCGCAGGTTCCCCCCCCCCGTCACCACCGTAAAACGGCGACTTCCTTCACCCTGCCGGGCCACCAAAGCTGCCTGCCTGACTTTCCGCTCCTGGCGCTGCTTGCCCGAGACGGCCTCGCAGCGGCGGACAAAGCCCCCCGTGGACTCATGTTCGTGACCCGGGCACGAGAAGCACTTTTAAAGTGGGCATTTTGTTGCAGCTTTGATGGGGACGCGACACTGCGCAAATAACCCCCCGTGGAGGAGAGGCCATGTCTTCTGTATGTATGGTCAACTTCTTTCGCACCGTATCTAGCCAACCGCGCTAATCGGAGGCTCTGGTGTCGCAAGAGGGGAGCAAGTTAAGGCATTTCTCTGGCCAGCAGCGTTACCTGACTCCTAAGTAAAAACTCATGCCCGTCACTGGCTCAAATACTGCTGAAACTTGGGTTACAGTCTACAAAGGGATTGTTTTGACAAATTTTAAGCAAATTTGGTTATTTTAATCATCAAAAATTTACTCTCGGTGAGCGAGCAGCTAACATTTATTGGTAATCGGAGCCATAAATATCAAACATTAAAGGAGGGCGCAAAGAGTGGAAATCACGTGGAGGCACTGGGAGTAGTGCTAACGTGCACAGGCGGCACGAGTTTTTGTTTTTTACAGATTTACGGTGGTGTTGGAACGCGGAATGGGATCATGTCGACGACCAATGCGAGGAGACTTTTAATTCTTTTGCAAATAAATTCCTACTTGCACATAAAAATTAAGCGCAAATGCCACCATGTATAAGGATGCGTGGTCACGGTGCAGTGTGAAGAGATAACCTGAAAGTTCATTCCTTGGCCGGTCATGTTGAAACGCACAGACACCTGGTAATTGTGACGCTGAGCGGCCATCTGCGAGCAAACAATCCAAGAAAAATAACCACACACGTGACTCAAAGGTTATGAGTAACAGAGCTTAAATTATATGATTGCTATTGTGAATGAAAAATATGAATGCTGACAAATCCTGTTCCTACAAACTGAAGTCAAATAACATTTGCAAGATAGGCTATTCAAGTTGCTGACTTTCAAAGAACACATTGCACTTCAAACCAAGTATTTAGCTACACACATTTACTAACTAAACCTGGTTGAAATAATAAAAGCTCCTTAAATATGGCCCTATTCTTATATATGGACAAGAACCTGTGCTTGGCAAATAAACCATTTCAAGTGTTTGCACTGAACTTACTGAAGTCCAATCTACTTTTACACACTGCATTCAGTTCAGTATTAACTTTCTGTCACAATCAAGTGCGAATGGTCCTGTTCAGAGTGCATTCTTGAGGCAAAACAAGATCATCTGAAGACCATGACCTTAAGTCCAAGGAATTTTTTAATCCACACATCATGAAAACAACCAACAAACAGCACAACTCCTTACAAGGAGAGAGACAGATTATTTCCGAATATTCCAATTGTGCTATCAGTTTGATGTCATCAGAAAAATACATTTCCATTCCAAAAACTTACAAAAAGCAGCGGTAACATTGCCCCACATTACAGAACTGCCTCTTAAATGTATGACTACAGCACTTCCAATTGATTTGTATCCACACCGAAACACTGCACCATCTTACAAGCTAGGCTACACATATGTTTATTCCAAGGACATTAAACTAACAATTTTAGTGCTCAGATGGCAACATGTTGACTAACCTGTCAATCCATTTTATTCCGCTACACCTGGAATTTTATTTATTTATTAAGCAAATCATGTGATGATGCTGCACTGCCATTGACGCACAAGCACAATTAACAAAAATAACTCAAACGTTTGTCAATAATGCTGCCTTAAATGAAAAAAGATACATACTAGACGACGTTTCAGGCCATAGGTCTGCTTCATAGCACACGGTACTTTGAAGTATGTTTTCGAAATACCCAGGTTCAAAACTGTCATCTTGGTAATCCTGGCCCAGTGCTCCAACACACATTCACCCTGTTCCATTCCAAGACGTCTGCAAGTTGCAGGGTGGGTGTCCCATTAACCGATTCATCTCAGAACGCACAAGCGGTTCGGCGTTAATTTTATTTAGAGAGGCGTAGCGTTGCTGTTTTTAAAGACACTGTACTGTAGTCAACGCAGAGAACTGTAGCGACACGACCGCACTCTATGAATGCTGGCGCTAAGCTGTGCCACACGCCCCCCCGCATGGCCTTTTACTTCAGATTCCATTCAGAATCGATTCCGTTCCAAAGACGTAAACGTACGTAACCGGAATGGACTCAGAAAAAAAACTGATGACGTACACCCTACGTCATCGGAATGGGAGAGGGGTTAATTAGCCTCCTGATCTACCTGGCGAGGCACTAAACACGTACCTCCTCGGTCTCTGGATATGGGTAGTACTGGAAGGTGGCCGAGTTAGGACAGTTGGAGCGATGGGGCACGGTGTCACGGTAAGGGGGCATGGGCCCCGAACAGGTTGTTTGGTACAGCGCCGCTGGCAGCTGGAAGCCCGGGTCAGGCGAGTTCTGCAGGTAGCCCTCCTGCTCCACTTTCCGTCGCATCGTCGAATTCCAGTGATTCTTGATGGCATTGTCGGTCCTTTTGGGCAGAATGAATGAACACCAGTTACAATGAACAACTCGTGTTTAGTGGCTTCAGAGGAGTCTTGGGGAAAGAAAAAAAACATGGACTGCATGTGACTTTATTCACGAATGTTGCATTTTAAAAACTCTGATCGACCACACATTCAGAACATGCTTTTGTGCCGAAACGAAATGTGAAATAAAGTTCGTACTAACACTTTATTAACTTGATTGTTATGATGACTAAGAGCCACTCTCTGCCATCATCCCCATCTCTTCCCATAAACCAAATGCTGCCTCCATTAACACCACCACCAAAGGGACATTTGCAGAATAAATGAATCACTTAATGTACTTCCTCTTTAACATTATTTCCAGAAATGTTTTTGTATCAAAAAAGCAGGGGAAGGTTACAGTGTAACGACACACATTTTTAAACAGTCCACAAATGAGTGTAAAACATTATGTTGCATTACTAGAGTATGTTGAATAGAAAGGAAAATCGAGACTATTATTTAAACATTCAAGGACTACATTGGCATTTCTGCCAATGTTCTAATAAAACAAATTCACCACATTCATCGTTAATACTCCTTTCTAACAAGGAATGCACGGTGGCTGGTGTTCATTTATCTAACAGATATGGCTCATTTGTCAACTTTATTAGAATCTTCCAGTTTTGTCAGGGTCCATGTTTAAAGCTTACTTTTCCTGTTATAAAGCAACATCAATGATAAAAGTGGGGAGTTTTTATGTTACTTGTGATGTACTTTTACATTTTGGGTAATTTTCAAATTTGGGGAAATGTCTTCACACCACACAACAGCCCACCCTTGCAAACGATATCACAACAATTACGGTGCTTTTTCAATCTTCTGTTGGATGAAGGCCATCCCCACACCATGTTTGTAGGTGTTGTTCGACCATACTCCACCATGCCGGTCAGTGTGGGATGGTGAAGAGGACCGCCAAGGCCCAGTTTGCAGATATCACTCATTCAACGTGAGATCACCGATTCCACAGCGCGGTGCGCCAAACACCACACCTTTTAATTACACTTTAAGGTCAACAACACTCGAAGAAAACATCACCCTGCAGTAAGAAAATGAAATCGACGGCTGAGGAAATGAAATCGACTACTGTGCAACCCTCCCTCGGTGGCGAGCGCGCCGACCGGTCATTGCCACTCCGCTATGCAGCCCGTACCTGCCAGGCAGCAGCTTGGCGATCTCGGCCCAGCGGTTTCCGAGGCGCTTGTGCGCCTCGAAGATGACACGGTCCTCCTCCTCGGTCCACGACGACTTCTTCACCTCAGGGTTGAGGTGGTTGTGCCAGCGCTCGCGGCACTGCTTGCCCACGCGGCCCTTGAGGTGCTTGGCGATGAGCGACCAGCGCTTGGGACCGTACTTCTGCACGAGCTCAATCACCTGCGCAGAGGGCAGGGGAAAAGCTCAATGACGGAGCCTGCTAGTAATGCGACACGAAAGCCCTCTTTGAAGCGAACCAGGAGAGATTTTTCCGTCACGGATGAATTAGTACACACTTAAGGCAAATAGCGTTCCGAGTGAAATCGTTCAACAAAAAAGCATCTTGCCATACTATTATTCGGTTCAAAAATATCATTATTTTTGTTATCTTCAAACCAATTTAATAACTCCAAAACGAATCGTGCTTGAGTTAATGAGACAAAAAGGGAAAACACATGCAAGAATCAAACAAGCATCCAAGATGTGAACACTCGCTGTTGAGAATGATGGACCTGGGCGGGGAAAGCACTGGAACAAGACACAATGGGTAAAAGGTTACAGATCGGCCAAGAGGAAACAACCCAAGAGAAGGTGGAGCGATGCATTTGGGACACAGGAGAGAATGATGTGGAATTAAGGCCGTGTTAAAATACAGGCAGTGGTATTAAATTATAAAAGCTTATATCTGGTAAGGAACAGGATATGTGCTGATAATATAACTCTACAAAATGGGAAATATATATAAACCCACTGTAGAACAATTCCCTATTTAACCACAAAAAGGAACCAAGACTTTATTACTTTCACATTTTCACATTAACAGTGAACAGGCCCGCTTGCATACCTTATGATCCTCTTCCTTTGTCCACGGCCCCTTAATAAGCTCAGGATTGAGCACTTTCTGCCAACGGTGTAGGCACTGCACGTCGGAACGATTCTACAAATAGACAAGAGAGCGTCCCGTTAATCGTGACAAAACACGCAGCACACGCCGACAGGTCCAATGAAAATATCACAACGCCTCGATTGACTTCTTGTTCCTTGAACACCGGAATGCACCACAACACTTGCGGGAAAAAATAGCACGGAAACTTATCAAACCGCGCATGAGGTCAAGGTTATTTTTCCACTGCCAAGAAAGGTGAAAAGGTAATTGAATGCAGTCACTGCAACGGGGTGGGGGGGGGGGTGCTTACTGTAAAAAAGTTGGCGATGAACTTCCAGTCGCCATTCCCATGTTTCTCCACCAATCGTTTCAAAAGGTCGTCCTGGGTGTGAGAACACAGTGTGGCTATTAGCACAATGCAGCTCTTTCCAATACGAGAAGCTTCATAGTTTTCCTCGCGAGCAAATTTGACTGCAGGGATACATCGAGACTTAAAAGCTATTCCTCCGCGCAGTTTTAAGTGTTGAGAGACAAGCTTGAGTGTTGATGTTATTCGTGACGTACATTAAAGATATATGTTTGTCAATGTCATCTTGAATACTCTGGGTTGTTGTGGAAAGTATACTTGATTTGAAAATCACTGCAAAATCTAAACTACTATATAAGTTGACCCAAATATAAATAATGTTACATCCTGGTAATGCTCAAGTTGCAACTGAATGTAAATTCCATTGGCTTATATGAGGCATGATAAGGTCTAAGGTAAGACAATTGCCTTAATAAGATAGTATAATTACAAAAAGGTGTTCAGTTAACTTTAGTTATCAAATTACAAGCTTACAAACAACATCAATGTGTAATTACTGTACTGCCAAAAGGTATTTGCTGAAGGCAGAACAAAAAATATATTTGCACTTCAATTCGACTACAAGTCAAAATGTTTACTTAATTCAAGTGAGTCCAACACTACGAGTCTCCTTTTTAGGGGAAATCAGGAAACAACGCAATGTGTAACAAGAAAATTAAGTATCGCATACAATTAACACAATGAAAGCACATCAAAACCAATCAATAGGTGTTATTTTGACTAATTCATGAAGATACTAACTACAACAAATGCATTCATAATTTCCTAGTTAATTAATCCAGTTTATCATCCTCAGATGGCTCGGAGCAAGAGATCTTGGGATCTTCAGTTGTGGTTGCTGCGGTCAATTGGCAAGTTGATACAGCAAACTGGGGTGGCAGGTAGATTAAAAAATCCCATATTATCATTACATTCTTTGAGGTTTTGCATATGAATAGCAACATTGAGGTGGGTCAAGCAACATTCCTAAATTTTTCTAGATGGTAAGGTTACAAGGACATTGCTGCGAGTGTCAACAATGGGACAAATAAACTCAAAAAGTACTGGGCAATCTGCATTATTTGTATTAGGCAAAGAACACTACTGACTCGAAATCTACGTGATCCTTGAGCGGTTATTTAGGAGCATAATATAAATACAATACAGTGTTGCATTTCTGACTAAATGACACATGGCCTTGAAGCCCGCTTCTGCTAAACATTGCAGGGCTCAATTTAAATCTCACAAAGGCTAGAAAAATGAATCAGATTGGTTTGTCCACAATGCTCTGCACATGTCGCAAATGATGGATAATATAACCACGCAGATCGCTTAAACCATACTCGAGGCAAGTTTTTAAATGTTAATTGATGACAGAATTAATGATAAAGCAAAGCCTCAAATTACGTGCAAATATAAAACGTGAAATAAATACGACAAAAATCGTACAATATTTTTCAAGTTTAATCTGAAAACTTGACAAGGGACTTTCCCATCACTCTTTACCACAGGACTAAAAATGTCACGTAATTTCCACAGTGAGATGCTCCCCAACACTTCGCAGGGTTATTATTCCGAATCATAAAATGTCCCGTTGTGACATTTGCATTAACTGCACTGCAGAACATGCCTCTGGGTATATGCCATAGGTGTGACCTGTTGCATGTCATGCAAGTGACAAACTGCTGAAAGATTCCGTGCTAAAGAGGCAATCCTGCCGTCACTTTTCCTTTTCAACAACCAATTGCGCTTCAAGCATTTTAATCGATACACGTGTTTAACAGGAACAATCTAAAACTCCAAGAGGTTGTGGACTCAACCACCTGTAGCAGCAGATTAGGATATACAACTGTAGGTACCCGTGACATGAGGTTACACAACTCTATAGTGCAGCACAATCATTAAAGTGTTTAGATTCTTCGGGTAACCTCCAGTCTTACTCATTAATTTAAAGTTGGAAGATATCGGCTACTCGTGGTGTTTGCATTCTACACATTGCACAGATACAACCAAAGAACACGTGTCAGCCCTTCTATTTACCGTACCTTTAAAAGGAAATAACAACAAATCAAGTCTGTAACTGATACAAGTTTTACACAACTATCAATTGCAATTTGTTAATACACTGGGATATATTATAGGCTTGTTATTGTTTAAATTGCAACTGTTTATGATTTTTTTAAAAATTCAATGTAACACACTGTATTCATTCACGAAAGCACAGATGATCTTTCTAAGTGACCATTTAAAGCCAGATGAGAGCCCATTCAGACTAACAGTTTTATATTCAACTGAGAGATGGCACACTACAGAATAGTTCAATATGACTTAATGTTATACACAAATAAGGCGACACAAATTATGAAATACAATTCATAACCTAAATGAAGCTCAAACAATTCAATCGGTACAGTTGAGGTAAATCATATATTCTCCCAATACCGAACAAATACACAACTATCAAAACATACTAAACACCAAACTCAACAATTGCATGAATCCTCATGCTTTGGAGTCACAATTTAATTCAAGAATATACATTTGTCTAATTGTTATAGTTTCGTCTGCTCCATTATCCTAGATCTTAACATTACCATATCATTATCACAACTCACAAATACTCACATCGTGCACATAGTACAATGCACGTACTGTGATAAATAATCGCAACGGATGATTTAATGCACTTCATAAACCTGCTACATACAGAAGAACATTGAAGCGGCTGTCTCCTTCAAGCTCTCGGCTCCCGACGATATGAACCAGCAGGACAAGCTTCATGTTCAGAACACAAGACGACGAACACACTAGCACTTGCCTCCTCGGCTGTCTCCTTCAAGCTCTCGGCTCCCGACGTTAGAAATCAGCGGGACAAGTCTGATGTTCAGAACACAAGACGACGAACACACTAGCACTTGCCTCCTCGGCTGTGTCCTTCAAGCTCTCGGCTCCCGACGTTAGAAATCAGCGGGACAAGTCTGATGTTCAGAACACAAGACGACGAACACACTAGCACTTGCCTCCTCGGCTGTGTCCTTCAAGCTCTCGGCTCCCGACGTTAGAAATCAGCGGGACAAGTCTGATGTTCAGAACACAAGATGACGATCACACTAGCACTTGCCTCCTCGGCTGTCTCCTTCAAGCTCTCGGCTCCCGACGTTACAAACCAGCAGGATAAGTCCGACACGAGATAACACACTCGCGGCAACTTGCCTCCTCGCGGGACCAGCGCGCCTTGGAGCCGGGCCGCTTGCCGCTTTCCTTCTGGAGGCTCGTCTCGTAGTCGTGGTCTCTCACCTCCACCTCATCGTCGTCCTCGTCACTGCTGCACGTGCTGCAGGGGAAGAGCAGACCCGCGGCACGGCGTGAGCTTTGCGGGCAATCGCACACCTCCTCAAATGGCACAAACCTCCCCCCCTTGCCGATCGCTTTACAAACGATTAAGCTCGGACTGAATTTGCAATATGAAAAAAAAACATTGTAAAATGTGTGCGTTAAAGAACCGGTTCGGCTGTCAAATGCTGAGCGGTTAAAGGTTCTACTTGGCGACTTAACTTTTCAGGAACATCTGTACGATTTCAACGGGCAGTTAGTTGTCTGCATCGGTGACAACGGCACTGCGACCAATTCAATCGCGTCTCGTAATTCGCACCGACAGCCGACACAAATTGCCGAAATAAGGGCTATATAAATTTCACAGTAAGCGCGCGTGACCGAACAATATCACGGTGACCTTAATCTCAGTTACTTTCCCACTTAAACGAGACTTTCCAAGCGCCAAACGTAATGCTAAATAAAGTGTGCACGCGCCCCCCGCGTTGTTTCATTCATGACTTTTAGACAGGAATCTTGCAAAAGACTACGGGCAAGAAGCAAACGCGGCTGCACGTATTATTACAAGTGCACGTACGTAAACTTCATGGTCGCGGCAGCCCAAGCGGATGATGAGCCGTGCCTCGTGTGTTTGTGTACAGTCTATCGGCGTGCAGGCAGCCTTTATTCGAGTCGACACGCCGCGTTCAAGACACAAAAGGCACACTAATCGGGGTCAATCACCGTCTCCGCCTCCCCCCCTTCTCTCTCGGGCTCTCTCCCCACCAACTTGCCCGGCTCCCTTTCTCACCCCACCCATCATCAGCACCCCTTCCTCCAAGTGGGTGGATTTATCGCGATCCCAAACTCATTACACAAACCAAACACGGCCGCTCCCGACCCCTCGAGAATATCCCCACTACTTGCCGCTGGCGGCGTGTGTGTGTGTGTACTTAAAGCGTTCAACGCATAAAGGCGACACAGGAACACCTATATCAAAACATCAATGACGACTTTGTGCCAAGGGCTTTGCATATAGGGTTATTTACGTGAGCATGAAATACACTCGGCGGTGTTAATAGACGCACATGTAATGTCGTCTACTGCGTCAATATATGCAAAAGGTGGATAGGATTCTGTGTACTGATCCCTACAGCTCACATAGCTTTGGGTCACTGAAGAGCACCATCATTTACAAATTAAGACTCTGGATCATGCAAACCCAACTTGGCATAAGAAAGCCACAACATTTGCAGTACACAGCTTTGGTCTTGTGTCTGCCTCGACATACGGAACACACACTACACAGCACACAACCGTTTTACAGTTATTTATGTAACTAATTACTCTGCAACTTGTCATTGGAAACTTTTCAGTTTCGAAAAATTCTGCCGCCACTATAACACATTTGTTTTCACGTGTCCTGCTTGCAGCAGGCAAGATGCACAGCAAAGAGAGTGTATGGCTCTGCATAAGGAAATAATGCTTGTCACAGTGCATCTTTGCATAGCAATGTGAAGAGAGAGAGGAAAAAAAATCACGTTTTATGGTCCTTCCCACCCACGGAAAAGTCAAACAAGGTGCGCGTTGTTTACTTAGTGGGGTTTGCAGTGGACATGCAAAGCAACCGAGAACTTAGTACGAGTCTCGACAATACTTTTGTGTATGTTTAGGTTGCTGAAGACACCTAGCACCGACAACAAGCCTCGGACTATATCTGTGCATAGTTTGGCATGGCAGCAGGCAACTTCATAATGTAAAAGAAATGCATGTCGGTGAATGATAAGTGAATGAGAACAAGGAAGCGTGGCTTGCATTTAATAATGATTAGCAATCACTTTCCTTGGCTTAAACCAAAGTCTGCCTTCAAAGGGCTGTAACTACATTATATGGGGTAGATGTTATCGACTTTACAGCACTCGGTAAACCGACCATAAATGCACACGAGGTAAAGTGAAACCAGTTAGCAAATCCTCAACCAAGACCTTCCTCATTCATACTCAAAACTTGACAGAAAAATGCATCAATTTTAAACCAAAGTAGCCGGCCCAGTCTTTGAACCATACTAACAACAGTTACAGGTAAAATAATACAGCTCACTTCCTTACTGTCTCCACACCTACACGAAAACAATGTTTAGTACGAGAAGCCTTCTGGCTTTTCCAGATCAACATTATCCAGCATCATTTGTTGCAACCGGCAAACTCTGGATCCCCTTACCATGTTATTGGCAAGAGCATTCCATTTAAATTAGGTGCGGCACCCGTGCAACGAAAACGCAGTGCCATCACGACGATTACGTGAGATGTCAAGACCTAAGAATATCACCCAGCAAAAGCGACGTCTTCGCAGGAGCTGCGGTGCCTGTTTGATTCTAGTTTCTTAATCGAGTGGCTTCAAAGCGGATTCGACACGCGTTTACGTAGCCGCGAATCTCAAACCATCGACCACGTTGTACACAACTTTAAAGGAGGGGCGGACCAGATCCACTCCGCTTCTATCGCAGGCAATTCGAGTGGATAAACAACATCGAAATATTACAGCTTTAATCTGCTGCTACCAATCCATACGCGGTGGGTTTTAGTGTCGCCTCTTCTACTCTGGGATGAGTTTGGGGCGTTTTCAGTGCTCGCTCGCTCATCTTCACCAAGTTTTTTTTTATTCACAAAATTGCGAGCCAACAAGTACTCACTCCCGTGCCAGTTTTTTTTACTTACTGCCATAAAAAAGAGAACCCAGCCAACAGCTTTCCTTCGCATTAATTACTGTAAACGCACTTGAAATAAAACGCACGTTTTTTCGTCTTCTTCTTCCCGCCACTGGCTTTTGGCATGCCGCCTTCACTGGGCGGCATTATTGTGCAATGATGACCGTAGAAGCCAAAACCTACGATACGTCTCTCTGCCGAGTTCCTCATTTTGTTTGTCATACATTACATCGAAACTAGCACTAGTTAATCGCTGTTCAAAAAAAATCCCAATGTATTAATTCACTCCACTGCCGCACAACTTTTTGCGTAGGTGGCCACTATTCTGGAGTCTGGACTTTTTATCCAATTTATTTCAAGTGTCATATCACGCTAGATAGCTGCATTGCGCGAATGTATACCTAATAAAACTCGCATATTTCATAGCAGATGCTGTAAATGTCTATTGCGGTATGACTACGGATGTAATGACTCTACGGATGTCAATTCGTGAGCATTCACTTCACATTATTCACCAACCCCCACCCCCGTCCACGGAGCCGAGAGAATCACACGAAGACCATGGACAGACGATGAGCAACGTGTCCAAGAATGTTTGCACAAGCGCCGTCTCTTGAGACACACGTGCACTTTCTCTGGGACGTTTAAAGGCACGCTCCACATCACGCGTACCCCACCCGCCTACCCCACAACACACACACACACAAAAAAACCCCATTTACAACAATAATTAATCACGCAGCACAAGAGTTAATCATGGGCCACATGACTGTGCGATGATGATGATGTGTGACCGCACGCCACGTGCTTATGGCGTTTAACAATCACTGTGCTCGGTTGTTCGCGCCACGTGTTCAAGTGTGAAAGTCGCCGTTCCGGGTTTAACAACCACAATGTTTATTATTCTCTACCCACTCCCCTCTCTCCCCCAAGGGTGACCAAGCTGCTGTGCGTTTATGTTGTAAAGCCCTAGAACTTGTGGAGTCTTCTCGTCCCACCGAGGCGATTGTAAGTTTTCCCCGCAAACTTGGGCGAGCGTGATGGTTATCAATGATAATCTCCTCGCACCGTCAATCATCAGCACGACTTTTTACGACATAGTACTGATACTACAACAACACACAATGCTGCGCCTGTGTGTGTGTGTGTGCGCGATCAAAGAATACAGCTAAAGTTAAACTGCAGTTAATTTAACATGACCTGCCCCTCAAAGCTAGGGCGGCTCGCATCTAGATACTATACACATACAAATAGTGCAATGCTCTGGTAGTTGTGAGTACCCCCCCCCCCCCCCCCAAAACGAAGCGCTGTTACAAAACCAGCAGCAAGGGATTCCCACTTTGTGTGTATAACCACGCCGTACTGTACTCAAACACGCTGCATTATTGTACGCCAGAGGCAATCCGAGGCGACTGTTCCACATCTTCACCATAATATATGCGCAGCCGGTCGAACGAGATCTCCGCATAATCGCTAGAGTTTATTATACAATAAAGACAACACCAGCAAGCCAGCCCAGCCAGGCACGATTCTCGCTTTGGGACTGCATGCAACACGTGCTTTTTGACTTAGCACTGTATACTGTAGTACATGGGGGGGGGGGGGGGCGTTGGTGGTGGTCACCGCTCTCGCTTGCTCAGCGTCTGACTCTCACTTCTGTGCGCCAGTCCAGTCAGCAGCAGCAGCATCAACCCAACAGTTTGGTCACCAACTTCATGAATTTGGTCACCCGCTTGACTAAGCATGGGGATGGCCCCCCTCTTCACTCAACAGGCATGACCACCACCACCATCACTCCCCACCCCGCCCGCCTCCAGCCAGACATCGGCTGCAATGAATGCAACCCTCTTAATAATTATCTAAGGGGTTCGTCGACAACGACCCACGCTAATTGATCCAGTTGGACACAAAGACGCACACGGACATAACACGCAAGGACAAAGATCCCCCGTGTAGCCTCAACACTGTAGGGGCAAGTGCTGTTCGCGAGCGCCTACGCCCGGCCGCCTTTGTCTCCCCCAGTGGCGATGTTTACACGCCGCACCGGGTACTCATTTGAGGCCAAGTCGACCTAGGGGATGCCCAAGACCTGTTAAGATAATCGCCACTGGTACATAACACACACACACCATAATGTAGCTAGCTATAGCCCAGCAGGTGAGCCTTGGGGGGGGGGGGGGGCGTTGAGCTAATTAGGCTTTGACAATTTATGTAACGGTCTGCATTGTAACATCACGGTAATGGCTTGCACGATTGGGCCCTCCTTCTTGAGAGAAAGCGACATCAAAACCCTCAAATATCGCCGAATTAAAGTTGACGAGAGCCCATTCACACGGGACTTGATCGATGTTGGGGGGCGAGTGACATATGGTCAATAATTGCAGCAGTTTTACCGCTCAGCCGCGGATAATTTTACAAAGATGCATTTATTTGGGCAATGACAAGGCACACCAATCATGTCCTGCGTTTTAGGTCGGGACTACACGATACCATAAACGTAATTATAATAGCGCCTTGACCAAGGCGATTTTACAGCGTTAACAAAGATACATAGGAATGTAATCGTGAAGATGACGAGGTGAACAAAATAGACGAGAGAATGGCAATGGGTGAGCCTGTGATGCGTGAATAAAGTAAAACAATAAAAATGCGAGCAAATTATGAATTTGGATAGATTGGAAATGAGTGGTTCGCCATGGAGAAAGATTGTGAAGCAGCAACAGGAACGAAAACAGTTCTAGAAGGAGGGAGATGATGAAGGGGGGAGATGATGAAGGGGTCGTGAGATGAGCTTGGGGGTGGGGGGGGGGAAGAGGTGAGTGTTTGTTAAGAGAAGTGGAAACTCGTCAGCGAAGAAGATGCCTGCTAAACGTCCACCTTACAGCGGACGGCGACCTTGGCGTTCCAAGTCCTCTACACTACTGTCAGCTCCGACACCACTCAGCTTCCACGCAGTCCCAGCACTCACACACCTGCACACAGCATAGCCGCAGACACGTGGGGACGATTTTGCAAGTGTTCTAATTAGCCACGTGGGGGGGGGGGGGGGGTCAACATTAGGTAGCAGCGGGGATCCATGAAGGCTAACTCGGGACTTTCTCTGTCCAAAGGTACACAACATATGCCACATAGCCCCCCTTCACCCATCAGGCGCACGTGGGCACACTCACTCGCCCCTTCACAAGTTCACGCGGTGCAGTTTCACTCGCAGCAGCAGCAAAGAGCATGCGTTATACTACTGTACGTACTGTACGATACGCGGTGTTGCTCGACACGAGGTCGTCTCGGGCCGACACGTGCGCCCTCGCTCACTCACCCACCTCGCTCACCTACTCACCCCACTCACTCACCCCACTCACTCATCTTACTCACCTCGCTCACTCACCTCGCTCACCCCACTTGCTCACCCACTCGCTCACCCCACTTACTCATCTTACTCACCCACTCGCTCATCTTACTCACCCCGCTCACCTACTCACTCACTCACCTCACTCATCTTACCTCACTCAACTCACTCACTCACCCACTTACCTCGCTCACCCCACTTACTCATCTTACTCACCCACTCGCTCATCTTACTCACCCCGCTTGCTCACCTTATTCACTCATCCTCTCACTCACCCTTCTTACTCACCTCGCTCACCCCCACTGACTGGCTCACTCACCCCACTCACTGGCTCACTCACCCCACTCACTGGCTCACTCACCCCGCTCACTCTTCTTACTCACCTCGCTCACCCCACTCACTGGCTCACTCACCTCACTGGCTCATTCACCAACGCGGCCATTCAGTCGCAGGCTCTGCCCCCAGGCAGTCGTCTCGAGTCACGCTCGACTCTCCTTACTCCGCGCACCCGACTCGAGCGAGCGACTCATGCGCAGGCGGCTCTCCCTGCCGCGCGCGCGCTCACGACCGTTCCTTAAGTCGCCTCGACCCGTACGCGCGTGCACGTGTGTGCGCGTGCATGTGTGTGTGCGCGTGCATGTGGGTGCATGTGTGTGTGCGCGTGCATGTGTGTGTGCGCGTGCATGTGCGTGTTCATGTGTGTGCGCGCGCGTGTATGTGTGTGCGTGTGTGCATGTACGCGCGCGTTCATGTGCGCGCGCGTGCATGTGTGTGTGTGCATGTGTGTACGCGCGCGTATGTGTGTGTACGCGCGCGCATGTATGTGTGCACGCGCGTGTGTGTACGCGCGCGTGTGTGTGTGTGTGTACGCGCGCGCATGTGTGTGTGTGCATGTATGTGTGCACGCGCGTGTGCATGTATGTGTGTGTACGTGCGCGCATGTGTGTGTGTGCACGCGCGCGTGCATGTATGTGTGCATGTGTGTGTGCACGCGCGTGTGCATGTGTGTACGCGCGCGTGCATGTGCATGTGTGTACGTGCGCGCGCGCGTGCATGTGTGTGTGCATGTATGTGTGCACGCGCGCGTGCGTGTGTGTGTACGCGGGCGCGAACCCGGTACGCGGCCTTCCTCCTTGCGCCTCTCACCTGTTCCGCGAGCGCCTCGACATGACGGGGGTTGGGGCAGCAGCAGCAGCAGGAGGAGACGGAACGGGTCGCCGCGCCGACAAAACAAATAAAAATCACCAAACTTAAATTCGAATAGAAATCGTTCTAAAAAACAGCCAAATAAAAAAAAACTAAATACAACTTTGTCAATCGACAAAGCGTCTCGCTAACGTTGACCGTCTCGCTTTGGGAATAATTTGTTTCTAACGAAACGTTAGTCCGTTAAATATTTTAACCGATGTTTGTTTATTTTCACGAGAGAGAAAGTGGAGCGCGAAATGCCCGCGAACGACGTCGGCGGCGAACTGCGCCGCGCTCGCGCCAAATCTCGCGCCCAAGGGCGTATTTGAATGTGGCGCATGCGCAGTGGGCGCCGCGGGCTCGCGCGGTGGGCGTGGTCAGTCGGAATGGGCGTGGCCGAGCTGTTTTGGGGGCGTGGCCTGTGGTGGTGGTGTGGGTGGGGGTGGTGGTGGGTGGGGGGTGGGTGGTGGGGGTGGGTGGGGGGTGGTTTTCTGGGCGCGCGCCGTCGGGGCGTTATGTGGGGACACGCGCGCGCGCGCGACTTAAGTGGTGGGGTGGGGAGGGGGGTGGGGAGGGGGGTGAGGGGGGGGGGCTCGTCCTGATGGGCGTGGTGGGAGGAAGGGCGGATCAGGGGGGTAGGGGGGGTGGCGGGGTGGGGCAGGGCCGGGGGGGCGGTCGTGGGGGGTGGCAGTGGGGGGTGGTGGGGAGGGGCAGGGGGGGGTGGCAGTGGGGGGTGGCGGGGGAGCAGTGGGGGTGGTGGGGAGGGGCAGGGGGGGTGGCAGTGGGAGGTGGCGGGGGGGCAGTGGGGGGTGGCGGGGGGGCAGTGGGGGTGGTGGGGAGGGGCAGGGGGGGTGGCGGGGGGGCAGTGGGTGGTGGTGGGGAGGGGCAGGGGGGGTGGTGGGGAGGGGCAGGGGGGGTGGTGGGGAGGGGCAGGGGGGGTGGCAGTGGGGGGTGGCGGGGGGGCAGGGGGGGTGGTGGGGAGGGGCAGGGGGGGTGGTAGTGGGGGGTGGCGGGGGGGCAGTGGGGGGTGGTGGGGAGGGGCAGGGGGGGGTGGTGGGGAGGGGCAGGGGGGGTGGTGGGGAGGGGCAGGGGGGGTGGCAGTGGGGGGTGGCGGGGGGGCAGTGGGGGTGGTGGGGAGGGGCAGTGGGGGTGGTGTGGAGGGGCAGGGGCGGGGGGGCAGTGGGGGGTGGCGGCGGGGGGGCAGTGAGGGCAGTGGGGGGCAGTGGGAGGGGCAGGGGGGTGAGGCGATGTATTCTGCGCGTGACTTTGTGGTGCCGTTGGCACTCATGGAGGTTGTGTTCCGCTCGTTATTGATGGGATTGTCTCTGGAGCTCGACTGATAGGTAACTCGTCACGTCAATTTAAAAACTAAATATCCTCAGGAATATACAACGATATTAATTCACACCAAGCCCTGTGGTGCAACGTGCAGCCTCCGACTGTTATCCACTCCATCTCTCTAGCACGTGCTATGAAAAAGGGCCAGTGACCGAAACGTCGCCTATTTACTTTTATTATTTACTAACGAGTTGGGGTCGTGGCGGTAATGGCTCGTGTGCTGCCAGGTTTATAGACGGGGCTGAGTGGGTTGAGGCGGTGGTGGCGTAATTGTTCAATGTGGTGTCTTCCCAGTATAGATCTACTTCCAGCTTGCAGTGAGAGTAGTTTGGAGTTTTTGTATCGTCGCTATCCGAAGCCACTGAACCCAGCGATTGAAAGTTTATTTCTGTGAAAGCCATCCTGTAACCAACTAATTATCCAAAGTATGCTGTAAAATTAATGTTATAGAGCCAGTATTGTCAAGATTTGCTACAAGCGTGTGTTATGTGTTGGTGTTTTTGTGGCTCATATCCAACATGTTTTTCTAAATTATCACAAATTTGTATGAATCTTGCCAGGAATTACCATGGCCTCATTCCTGATTTATCTGTATGTGGATATGAATCAGCTTTGCATTTCAATTTCGATTTAAACCTTTCGTGACTGCAGGGATTCATCTTCTTGGTTCTGTCGGTAAAGTCACATAGAAGAACAGGTCTGTCGGAAAGACAGCGCATTCAGACGCTGTCTTTCCGACAGACCTGTTCTTCACCGGAGGACGGCTGCTTGCGTTGTGGCCGAAACGTCGTGAGAATTATTTTATTGTGTTTTATTTTTATTTTTTTATTATTTCCCTTCTACGTGACTTTACCGAAAGAACCAAGAAGAGCCTTGCATTTGTCCAATATAATTGCAGTTATCAAAAAAGGTATCAGCTCACCCACAATGCAGCAAACTACGTATCTTGCTAACTCTCTGCATACATTACCCGTTTGGTTTGGAAAATTGAAACCTGTGGGCGACTGGCTCTGTAGAAGACATTTTTACAGTGGAGCTTACTAGCCATGCACTTTTTGCAACTTGGAAATGTGAGCGTGTGTCGAGCCATAACACACCTACACGGCAGATTAAATAAGCAGTCTACTTCCCATATCTGTCTCCAAAATAAAATATATTTTCACACAACCCACACTACTTTTTGGAAGTACTTTTTCAGAAGTTTTGGTTTTATACACGTAAACTATGGGCTAGTTTTTAGATTCAGTGTCTCATCAACAGTCGGGCTTACTTAAACAAATGCTGGTGAACTGTCATATTTATAGAATCAAAATATGTATTTATCCTGGAGAAATCCGATGAGCTATGAAGCTTTTTTTCACAGATGTCCAGAAGATTTCACAGATGTCCAGTAGGTATGGAACCCACTTTTAGATGTATATCGTAGTTTGCCTCAAAACTAGTACATCAAGTTCATTTATTAGGTATAGCCCTGTGAGCCATTCGGCTCTTGAATCGGGTGCAACCGCAACAAACAAACAAAACAAAAACATGAACAAAAAACATCTTAAAGTGAATATGTGACTGAGTGCAAACGGAAAATCCAAGAAAAGACAGTAAAATATTGCAGAAAAAGCACCGTACACAAAAATGTGCAAAAATCCCAGTGGGATGCAAGTCAAACAACAACAACAACCACAAGACAACTTAGATTAAGGCCATCAGTCTAACTCTGTACTACAACAAACAAACATGGCCAAACCAAAAAACTTATCGAAAATCACCAAAATAAAGCCATAAAAACAATGAAACAGTGGTCATAGCAACTGTGACCGAATTTTCACAATAAACGACATAAACAACATGTATTACCAAACTCCATGGCTAAGTAATACGTGGTTAAACCATGGCTTATACTATGGAAAAATACAAAAATCCCCGTTATCTAGCAGCGTGGCGAACAGGACATATGATCACTCATCAAGACCAAAAATGTTGTGGCGATACTGATACACTCATCATTAGCCCAACATCATGAACGCTATATGGGTGAAAACTCACATCTTGGTGGAATTTTTGGAAATATATCCCCTATTGTTGGTGCTGGAAACTTAATTTTGTGATCACAAAAAAGCACTGACAAAAGCCACTCTGTGTATTCACCTCGATAACTTTATTGAATTGTGTATTCAACTTGTGATAACCACACAACATGAAAAATTGAATGTCAGCTAAATAATAAAGGTGTTGTGCAGATAACACGATTTCAAGTAATTATTAGTCACTTTGGGAAGTACGAGGCATTTTCAGAGTTGATTTTGAATTGCAAATTCATCCAATGACTCCTAATTAAATCCCAAGGCATTCACTGGCAAGGCTCTTCTATATGCTTTCAGTCGGTGAACCAATCCATATACCGTCGCTCGGTCGAGGCTTCTTTCCGAATCCTCTCTCTTCACAGCCTTCCCCAAAGTAACGCAGCGTGCTCTCACGTCCTTGTCGGCAAGTTATTGCCACGTCTTCCTCGGTCTCCCCTTCTTTCTCTTTTCGTCGACTATCACGCCCTCTCCCGGCACTTCTGGCAACATGTCCGAACCATCTCAGTCTTTTCTCCCTCAATGCCTCCACAATCGAAGCTACTGCCAGTGCCGAATTACCACAGTAGCAAAAGTAGCTCTCATATGCTACGGGCCCCGCACTTTCAAGGGCCCCGCGCTAAATGCTTTCAAGCTATCAATTCCGCTTCAGTGATTCTGCACTTGCTCTATTACTATAGTACTATACTGCCTTCAACTTTTATGAACGACTGGGTGTTTAAGGTTAGCGATTTGTCGTATTATGTGGCTGTATAGCAAATGAAAAAATACAATGATTTTACTATGCAAGTGAAACAATTATGTTTTAATGTGTTTTATTTAGGGCCCCTTTATAACATATGCTACAGGCCCCACACTAGCTTAATCCGGCACTGGCTAATGCCTATGTCGTCTCACTCCTTTCTCACTTGTCTTTTCTGCCGATGCCACAAATCCATCACGGCGTTCTCTGCTCTGCCAATCAATGTTAGCTCGCCGTTTATTTCGTGTCCAGCACTCTGATCTATACAGAATCACTGGTTTAATCAGATGAATTGTCATTTTTTAACACACACCCACTCTGCTCACTTCCCTCCATTTTTTTGTTAAATTTCAAGGTGAGAAATGTTCTCAGTCTTCAATAAAAAAAACCTTTCAACTGATAAATAAACAAGGTAATATTTTGGGTAATGTGGCTTTCCATAAAGAATCGGCCGGTCAGTCATATCCTATTTCAGCCAAGTGAGAACTCATTCAGGATAAAAAAACATGTTTTATTAAAGGTGACAAGGGTTAAAATGAAAAATACAGGAAGAGACAATAGCACAGAAGTTGAACATTCTCTGCAAAATAACCTAAATCATGCTCGCCTAAGTAAAATAGTATGCCTATTAGCCAAAGCATCAGTTGAAGACATTTTAATAGGTCTGCTTTGGTAGTAGAACAAGCGAGTGGTACTACGACTGAGATTTGCAGTAAAACGAGTACGCACCATAATAACACTACAGTCGCCTAGAGAACGTGGGATTCTTGAGTGTCTGATTGGATTTGAAAGTTACATTCAACGTTTGGAACGCGGAATTACAAAAACGCTTGACGTTTGAACCGCTCGAATTTTCAAATGCAAAAGCAGCACCGCCCTAAAAATAAAAAAATAAATTCCCTAACACTGCTCTACAGTTCAATGACTTGGTTGTATATGTACAGGTCATTTCCTGTAAATGTTAAAAAATTATACAGTCCAGTCTTGGTAGAAGTGTAAGCCCTGTGTGTGTGTGCCTTTCGGATGAGATCATCCGAGGATTTACAATGCAGTGGCGCTCCCTTGTGGCAATCCTCTAATAGAGTACCTTTACAAATATTGCACTGACATTAAGAAGCCTTACAAACAAACACCTGTCTAACGCACTGCCAAA